ACGGTGGACTTTAAAGTTACAGGAATTCAATTTAATTATAAAACACATGCCTGGAAAAGAAAATGTAGTTGCCAATGCCCTTTCACGAATAAAAATTGATGATGAGGGAAATACAATTAAGTGTGCTATGCTCACCTCAAAAGTCATCGAGTCTCGTGATAAAATAGTTGAGGAATTGAGAAAGGATCCGGAATTTAAAGATATTTACGCATATCTGGAAGACCTTGAAAAGTTGATCATTTAGATTTAACGGCTATTCGCAATAGAGCACAGCATTACGAAATAATCGACAAACTGTTATTATACAAGTAACAAATGATAACAGGAATACTGACCAGTGATCAGCCCAGCGAGTCTACGTTTAAATATCTTAGAAGAATTGCATGATCTACCGTCCACTTTACATTTTGGAATTCAAAAAACAGTACAGTACAGAGGGTACGCGAAGCGGTTTATTTTGCACAATTACAAAGAGTAGTTATGGCATAAGTTAAGTCGTGCCATATGTGCCAGTTAATAAATGATGTTAATTACAGCCCGGCTGAGTATTTAAAAGAACATAAAGACCACTTTCCCGAATGAAATGGTTGGCATAGATTAGCTTGGACCCTACCCTAGGACAAAAATAAATAAAAATAGATATTTGTTAACAATTGTAGACCATTTTTCAAAAGGGGTAAAAATAATCCCTCTTAAACAAGCTTCAGCTAAAATAGTCACAGATTCGTTCTTAAATAAATATATTTTAAAATTCGGGGCCCCACTAAAAGTAATATCAGATAACGGAAAATGGTTTGTTAGCAGTATATTTAAAAATTTGTCAACAGGACTTGGCATATGCCATCTAAAAATTTTACCATATAAACTGCAGTCGAATATAGCGGAACACGTAAATAAGAATATTGTAAAAATTATCGGGATATGTGAAAAATTTTCATGATCGCTGGGACAGCTGTGTCAATGGGTTAGGCCTTTGCCTTGAAAACAGCAAAGCACGATACTACACAGAAGACCCCCACGGAGTTATTTTTAGGAAGAAAAATCCTAACTCCTTTGGATAAGCTCTTCTTTGTACAGCAAAGGCCAGAAGAATTCAAGTTAAAAGACATACAGAGAATAATTGATGAAACAATTAAAAGCTCTGATGTAGCAAGACAAAAGCAGAAGATCTACTATGATAGAAATAGAAGGGAAATGGAATATAAAGTGGGACAAAAATTACTCAAGTTGAAATACTCATTATCATCCGCACCCAAAAACAGGGTGGCGAAGTTCGAACCAAGGTTTGAAGGGTCGTATATGGTCGACTGAATACGAGTTTTATTTAAAGGCCGAAAATGGTCAACAACTGGTTGCAAATATTGATTGGATAAGGCCATGTTACAGCTTTACAGCCGTACTGATTTTAAAATCTTAAAGGATTTATTACAGGATCCTGGAAGGGAGGATAGAAGTCCGCCAGTTCAAAAGCACAGCTGGATTTCTTCAACACAAAGAAAGCAGACGGATCAATCATTGACCAAGCAGATCCAATCTAGTAAAGGTGAAGGCACACGAAAACGGAGGAGGGTAGCACCGATGGATCAACGAGCCAGAATCGAGGATTCTACATAAACACCAATACCATCGGCTAAGAGAGTGAGGCCTGCTGACAAGGTGTCAATCAAACAGAAATTTTAATGATAGGCGAAATCTACGAGACATAAACCACAGTTTCCAGTGGCAACAACTACAAGGGTGGCCCAAGGAGGTCCAGAATGGAGAACGAAAAGCGAGAAAAAAACCCGCGGAGACAGCCATGCCTGACCAAGAAGTTAGAAGATCCAAGCAAAAGTTCAAAGAGCATGAAGGACGAATGGTCCTACCAGAGCTGAAGAGGAAACTCCAATTCCAAAACCCGCAGCCAGCTCGCAAGACTCCCAGATTCTTAGACAAGGGGCAGAAGAGGAAAAGAAATTATGCGAACGGCACAGAGCACTAAACATCTAGAAGGAGAGTGGAAGCCATCAGGTTGCCGACATTTGAGCAATTCTTCCACATCAGAATGGAGTAATACAGAAAAAGATAAGTGAAAATTTTCTTGCTTATTTTACTTTAAATACAGATTTCAATTTATATCATCTTGTTCTGAGTTGCTAAAGATGTTTTGAAAAGTTAAATCGCAGATAGCGAGAATGTAATTGTAAATAGTTTGTAATCACAGATTTTTATGTTTGCAATTTGGCAAGAAGCTACTAGCAGTAAGAATTTTTGTTAAGAACTCGCAAGTTGCGAGAATTAAATTGTGAATATGTTTAGTCGAAAGACTCTTTGAATACTGAAATCTGTTAACTTAAAGTTATGATTTCGTGTAAAGATTATAAATTGCAGCTAAGCAACTATGACTGTTGATGTAAAGTGAATTTAAAAGTTTTGTGTAAATATCTAAATGTTTTTGTTAAAGTAGAAATGTTTTAATCTCTGTGTTGAAATTTCGTAAAGTTGAACATGTACAAAAGATAAACTTTGGCTTGTATGTAATTGATTTGTGAAAGAATTGAATGTTCAGTATATACGTGTGTTTAATGTTAGGCTCTCCAGTTAACACTTTCAAAAGTAAATTTAAGCATTCGTTTAATACATTAGGAAGTATATGCGTCTAGGGAGTCTTGTAAGGTCTAATGTGTCAAGATTAACCAAGTTAGATGTTGTGTAGCGTTAGTGTTTTTCACGGTAACACAACATAAGTACCCCAAGTATATTTCACAACAATTGCTGGAGAGTATGGGGGAATAAGTATGAGTGAAAGTGTATGAGGGCCAAATGAGGAATTAAAAGCGTAATTGTAAGAGTTATGAAAAATCTTTTTAAAATTCTTTACTAATGATGTTTCTTTCCAGATATGGGAGGATCAAGACAGAAAAAGCAGCTGAATAAATTTTGGAGTTTAAAAAGTTGATGTGTGTTAAAAACCAATGAAAATTTGTAAAATTCCTTTAAAAAATTTTCTAGCTTTAGTCTAGCTTTAGAACTGTTGTAAAGTTGGCCCTAAAAACAGAATTTTAAGTGAATAAAGCATTAAAAGTGTGTAGTTAACATAGAAAGTTTTCAGACTTTAAAATCTTAAACAAGGCCGTTTTGAGACCTTATGTTGCGTATATTTAAAATCTGGTCGGAAGCTATGTAAGGATTATGTTAATTTTATTAACAGTTAAATTTTGAGTTAAAGTTCCTTTCCTGTCAAATTCTTAACTTCAACTTACTACTTCCGGCCAGAACATAGTTTTAGAATCACTCTGAAGACATAATGAGGAAGAGAGCAGTATTTAACTGCGAAGTTCTGCTTGCTGAGTTAGAGAGAATCAGAGTTTCTGCTTTGGTTTTGGAATCAGAGTTTCTGCTACACTCGGCTGCACTCAGGCCCTTGATAGCTTCTCAGTCATCTTGTGGTTAAGGGGCCAACTGCATTAAAACTTTGATGGCTTCGGCTATATCTCTTTAGTTAAGTTTAGTTTAGTTCTTAAAATCTCAAGTTCAAAGCCCGAGTGTTTGGCTTTATTGTAAAACTCCAAGGTGGAATTCTGTTAACTTTTATCTGAACAATAAAGGGTTATTTTACCCTTTGTGCATATTGTTTTATCTACACGAACTCAAGCGATTATTCGCTTACTAGTTCTTAAGATTCCTCACGTTCAGTTGTAAATTAGCATTTACAAATTGAGGAACTCTACAATCCTTTCATTTTTCACTAGTACCATGTGGTTTTATGCTAACTAGGAAGCATTTTTTTAAAACAAACATAGTTTTCTCCATTCCAAGTAAACGACTATCAATATTTCATATTTTTTTATATATAAATTTCATATTATACAGTCAAAAGTCGTTAATTCGGACACCCATAATCCGGACCTCAAAGCTACAAACTTTATGGGCATGCGTCGCTTTGACCTTTGCCCATAAAACCTTTACGGCTGCAAATATGCGTGTGCGCGTGCGCAAAACATATGTACGAATGCGCGTTTAATGTATAACGGACGGTATAAGCTAAGCTAAAATTATCTAATTCAGTTAATGTTGCAGATTGCGTTGTTCCTTAATCTTTGAATTGGATTCGGTGTATTATTTTTTGTAGACTGTTAGAGCAATTTTATAAAAGTAAGCTTGAACTTTCGATTATGTCAAATAGAATTTCTGATATATATTTACTAATATGTAAAGGATCTACAAAGCGAAAGTATGTTTCGAAGTCCATTAAACAAAAAGTGGAATTGCTGCAAAAAATGGATAAAGTCATATCCTTTGTTTATCTAAACTCTGTTTATCTTTAACACCGCGGCGCGCAATGAATTGGAAGTTGATCTGTCATCACTATACTTATCTTCAGGGCAAATGTTTTTATTTTATTTGGCTTATAATTCCTCACTAAATGTAGTATTTCATCTCGATGTACTCCATCTTTGATATGATTTAAATCAAATTCCTCGTCGTTATAATTCGCTTCCGATAGCGAAGAAAGTGACAGAGGTTATTGAAAATGAAAAAAATTTCAATTGACAAATTAGTCGGTATTCTCGACACAGCAATTATAGGACTTGAACAGTGGAACTTTGTAACTGAACAAGAATTATGTCTGTTTATAGATTAAGAGAAAGTATTATCACATAAAAAACGAAGCACTTAAACAACTTACATTGAAAGAAATGTTATTTAATGTTTATTAAGTAAACAAATAATATCAAGCTTTTTTTTTTTTTTTTTTTTTTTTTTTTTTTTGTAAATTTTGATACCCTTTAGATCATAATTGTTCTTTATTTCATAAATTATGGTTTCATATTTTTTAATTTTATAATTATTACTGCATGCAAATCTTACCAGATTTAAACTGATGATCTATAATCCGGATCGCCGAAGTCCCGACGAGTCCGGATTACGATTTTTGACTGTATATATAAAATTTCATATTTTTATTTTCTATAAACAATTTTTTTTTAAAAAATTTTAATATTCTTAGTGCTAGTAGATTCTCCTGGATCCATCATCTGAGAATCATCACTTTTCCGCTTAGTCAATCCTAGCCATTTTTACATTTCGAAAATCTTGGTTTGTTTTACTATTTTTTCACAAATATTTAAATGCACAATGCCTAGAGTTCTTCAAAAACAAATGACAATACCCTCAAATAGCATAGAAAAGTAAGAAACAGAAAGCAAAAAGAAGACGAAATCCCTGCTGTAAGAGACACCAGATTGACATATTCTAAATGAAACTAAAGTAATACGAGTCTGGAAATGGTGGCGACATATAGTGCAGATATGCTAATAAATTGATCAACTGTAAAATGAGGTACTATTATCTTTTTATATAAACTTATTTTTATTTCCTATTAAATACAACATCCATTTCTATTACTTCTTTTAAAAACATCATTTATGACAAATTATGTTATGTGTATGGCTAAAAGAATATTTGAAAATAAAAATGGATTATTTTGCTAAGTCTACGAGCGGCTATTGACATTGAACAAACCTTCAGGTAGCATAAATTTATGAGTGTTAGGGGGGGGGAACAAGCTGGATGTTGGGGTATTTATTTTTTGAATTTAATAGTTAAAAATATTTTGTTTCTTTGCATACCACCTACTTTTCTCTTGCCTTCCACCAGTTGAGAATTGCTGCTCGAGAACCATGGATGGCTAGTTACCTTAGAAAGGACTCGACATATATTTATAAATAATTTTATGTTTGTAAAATATTATGAAGAACTACAGAAAATTGTTTTTAAGAAAGAATTTATTTTTAAATATTTGAAGATATGATTACTCTGTATGCAGAATACTGAATGCAAGGATATAAAAAGCGGTGTTTTGTATGTAATCCCCCCCCCCAAACAAACTAAATAAAAATGGATTGGAAGCATTGTTAATTTTTTTTTCGTGCAAGACTAAAATTATAATAAAATAGTATTTATGTATATTCCAGATCCTAAAGAAAAATAGTTGTCTTATGAATTTGTAAGGTTCTTACTTTAAACTAAACAGTTATGATTTGGGTGTGTACTTTATCTTTCTTCCGTGTTCCTCACCAGAATGCAAATTAGTTTGTTGTGTATTTAAACAGAGGTTTCAGGATATTGAGAGAGAGAGAGTGTGTTTCTGGCATGTGTGCTGTGTGATTAGATTTTGCCAGCTCTACTTAAATATAAAAATCTTGACTTGGTGTCCTTTCATTGCTGATACTTAAATCTTGCACATCGTTAAATCATTGAGCTAGCTTAGTATTTAATTGCGGTCTAAGACTGCAAATCAACATTTAGGTTTATTTGACCGTTCTTATTTATTTGCATCACCGCAAGCTTTGGTTATTTATAGAACTAAGTTGTACCATTAAGTTCAGAGTCTTGTTTAAATGAAAAGGTTGTTTTAAAACCTTCGTAAGACTTTATCGTTTTATCTCAGACATAGCAAAAACTCACCCCATGCCTGTGAGGGTTATTAGACTAAAGCAGCAGTATAAGATCAAGTATAACCTTATAAAGTGAATTTTTTTATTTTGTAAATGATTTATATGTTAAAATTTTTTAAATATGTTTCCATATGCAATTTGTACATTTTCTTTTAATCTGCTGTGTTTTAGATGAAAGGTCTTATTCTGGGAGTATATACCGAACAGAAAGATCAGTTCAACGAAGTCTCGTCCTTTACGCCAACATTTAAAGAAATAGATGACAAATCCAATGGGCAGTTAGCTGCAGCCTTAAAATCGTAAGTTTTGATTTTTAGCATTGTTTAAAAATTGCATCTGACATATTTGATTTTGTGTATCATAAATTGAACATCAAGGTAACTGCTAGGTATGCATATTTATTTTAAAATTGGTTTTATTGTGTTACACATTTATTTCGTTACCATGTTGTCACATAAGTAAAATGAGCATGAGACTTTAAACCCCCTTGCCTTTTAGGAGCTGCACAATTATGGATCAAAATAATGCTGATTTGGTGTTAAAATACACTACCCAACATTAAAAATGCAACACAAAGATGGAATGGCCAGAAAGTGATGAAACTCAGCAAACGGAGAGACAGTAATGAATAATAAGTTATGTTTGTTTGAAAATGATATGCATAATACTGAGCAAGAACAGCGTTGACTCAGTAGGTTGTAGGACCATCTTGGACGGCTAAACACAAAGCAACACGTCTAGGTACAGAGTCAATGAGACTATGGATGCTGTCCTGGGGAATAGCTTTCCATTCTCTTTCAGCCATTTTGTATAGTTCATCTTCTGAACACAGCAATGGCAGGGCATGTAAATGGCATCCAATCACATCCCAAATGTTTTCTATTGGTGAGAGGTCAGGAGAGAAAGGTGGCCAGAAAAGCATCTTTACATTTTCCAAAGCACGTTGGGCCGTCGTAGTGCTCTGAATACGAACTAGAGGTGACCTGGAATCATATGCAGTTGCGCCCCAAACCAGGATGCCTCATTATCACGTGGTAAGACGTTTCACAATTGCTGCCAGATTAGACCTGTCTCCACATCGATACCACATTTATACGTGGTGACTGTCAATGGAGAAATAGAAGTGTGACTCATCTGAGAACATGACCCTGTGCCATTCCATCATCCACATTGCTCGAGCCCGCCACCATTGCAGACATTGGCTTCTGTGATGTGGGGGTCAATGGCAATCTTCTTAACGGATGCCATGAGTGCAGGCCACTAGCCACCAATTAACAGCAAATGGTTCTCGCTGATATGAGAACATCCAGGGTGTCTTGAATATGCTGCAGAATGGAGGTAGAAGGGGCTTGCACTTGCACAGCTGCTTGCTATCGCATGCGTTGATTCATATATGCTGATGTCACTCTGGCTACACCGCCACCCCTCGAACTTGTCGCATTTCTTTGTTCCAATTATTGTCGCCACAGCTGGTGCACCATGGACATGTCCAGGTGTGTGTTAGCTGAGATTTACCATTTGGACCAACCTTTTCTTTTCAGTCTGATCACCATGTTTCTCGGAAAACCATCTGTCTGCTGGAACTGCTCCGTTGATGATGGCCTGGCATTCTCTGCTGTTAAACACGTTTTCTGAGACGAGAACAAATTTTCGACAATGATTTCCCCAGTGGAAATAATGGCACGAAAATTTGGTATATCGTGCAGATTTCTTCCCTTATATCTTCTTTAACATATGCTAGAGAGATGGGCATCATTTGTGTAACTTTGATATGCGTCTACCCTGAAATTTGCATAATTTTTGGGCCAGTCATTCTTGGTGTTGCATTTTCAATGTCAGGGAGTGTAAATATACAATCAAGCTTTCTTAATTTTTTCACTCTCTACTGAAAGGTAGGAAAATAGTTAATTAACTCATTTCTGTATTAATCTAAAGTAATCTAAAGTACTAGTAAGAACTTAAAGTACATAAATTTTAGCTATCAGATTGAAATTCTTAAAAGTTTGTTTTCTATCTTTTCATAAAAATGCTACTTTCCACTTACTAAGTTTCCAGACTGGAAAAATATTTAACAGTGTATGAAAATACAGTAAATGATGTTTGCATCTGCCATTGTACTAACATTGATCAGTAGAAAATGCATATGCAGTTAAATTGATAACTGTTTGGAAGTTCAGTTCAAACAAAGAATGAGGATGCCAGATCAAAATTTGTAAAGAGTTGGTTGAATTCCTAACATCACATGAATTATTTTTTTTCCCAATAATGCAGAATTCCTTCATTATCAAATAATGACAACTACTTGAGAATTTTAGAGCTAATTATTAAGGGAATGCTGACAATTATATAATCTCCTAACTTGAATTGAACACTAGGTATACTTCATATTGACCCACTGGTTGTAGTACTTAGACACATTAGTAAATCAGATGGTGAAGTGGTAGAATATTTTCTCACATTCATCCCTAAACTTAGCCAAAATCGAACCATATACCCAAATACACAATAAGGCCATATATCTGGTAAGTGACTTATCATAAAAAAGAAATTTCATTGTGGCAAGCTTATGGGTTATGATTATAGACTGTATCAATGGAGTCAATAAATCCAAACAATAGAACCATCTTTTGAAATCACTATATACTTTTGTAATATCACAGAGGAAATTGATTATTACAAGAAGAGAACAAATGAAAAATTCAATGTATAATATACAGATGTGTGTTTGCATCTCAGGAAAGGTTATTTTAACAGTGGTGATGCAAAAGTGGCTTTGGTTTGAGAAAGCTCAAAATTGAGATTTATAACCAACACTGGATAACTATACATAAAGCATTCCTATGTATTTAAAGACTAATTCAAAGCTAATTTAAAAAAATTTGTTTTATTTGGGTTCTTTATTGTTTTCTTCTTAAATACATATACTGAAGTTAAAGAAGTTGTCCAAAGATTTAGAAAACTCCTGAGAACATCAAGTTAGAGTTTTTTGTTTAAAAGAGTACATTTTAATTATTTCTTACTGGAGTTAAGATTTCAGAGCTGGTGAAATATTTCCAGTGTCATGATTATACAAGCTGATTTCTTGAAATATTGCACTATCAGATGTTGTGACAAGATTTGCAATTTAGAAGTATCATGATCGCAGCTATTTCTGCTGACTGATCCTATTTTGTAGTTAAAATACCGAAAATTTTCTATTAGTCTTCAGTGATACAGGAATAATGCAACTCACTTGCCATAATGGCTACTGAATATAGTTTCTTTTAAAAGCAGACTTCCAAAATGTCCTAAAAGATTTTATGATAGAAAGGTAAGGAAAATGAATGTTTGTGCTGTTTGGTTATTAATGTTAATGTATTAAAAATGTATTTAAATTTGGCTAGTCTCTATTTTAGGGAGCCCCTTGTATTATTGCCAAGTTGTTGTTTTATTTATTGCCAAATTGGTTCATTTATGGTAATCCAAGTAGTTGAATGTTATGGAAACCCTGTTATGACGTGATTGGTTACATGATTGCAGTGAATTTCAGACTTATGGGAAAATATTTGTAAAGGCTTATTTATGTGTCGGATGTTGGTTAGGAAGTACGTTGCTTATTTTGTGATTCACACTGTAAAATGTGTGCTAGTGGTACGATTAACCTGAAGTGTCTGTATATTTTAGAACAATTGGAAAAGAAAACATTGATTGACTGATGTGTAAATGAAGATTTAAATAGCATCAATGACCTCTTGGTAAATTACGCAGTGAAATTTAAGGATTTCGAAACCGGAACTCATATCAATACTACGGGAAGGTATGTAGGATATAATAAAAGCAGATTTTCGAAAGAAATGCTATCAACAGTCTGGCAGTATGGAGGATATTTTTCATTTTGAATTTTGTGAATTAATGTGGTGATGGCAGTATACAGATTGTAGTTTAGATAATTTTGAATAGTTTTTGGATGCTGTTAAGGAATTCTGTGTGTATCACATACTGAAGAAACAGAAATTTTTAAATAAAATGATGTTTCCTTTTTGGATTGCCTAGATAACATAACATGTATTTCCATTCTTATGTTATTTCCTTGTTTGATTTAAAATGCAGTTTATTGAGAATGTATTTTTGTTTTAATTATGTTTTATTGCATTATGTTTTGGATGCCATTTTACTGGGGAGGGCGTTGGACATAAACAGGAATGGTGCCAAAAAATCACCAATTTTCGCCAAGGGGCACCCTGAAATATTTTTTTTTACCTTAAGGTTTGTTAATTTGGTTGATGGTAATATTTGTGAAAAGTTATTTTGTATTATGAAACTGTTGATTACACAAAATTAATTATTAAAATTTTTAATTTAATGCATTTTTCAATTTTACTAAAGGTAATATGGGGTCCGGTAGCGTTCATAGTGTCATTTGACTTGTGTAGTACAATGACATACTGCATGAATGTATTCCAGCTTGTGCCGCATTCGTGTGCTAATGAGCTGCCATTTCAAGTGTGACAGTGATATGGATCAGTGGAGTGCACAGCATTGTGCCTTTGGCTTTGAAAGTTATTTCAAGAATAACTACTCTGTTATTGCTCCCCAGCGTCTATTTCGGCAACATTTCAACTTCAGACGTTATGGGAAAGTTCCAGATGGACGAACCATTGTGACAGACATTTCCAGGTAGAGTAATTTCCCGCTTTGGTGACATTTTCTGACGGCTGCCTCGCTCACCTGATCTTTCATGTGCAGACTTTGGGAGCACTTGAAGTAAGAAGTTTTCCAAACACGTTGTGCCACCATTCCTGAGTTGAAGGATCGCATCCGAACTGTCGTCGGTAATGTCCCAGGGAATATGTTACGCCGAGTTATGGCAATCTTCCAACGCCGCCTAGATGAATGTGTTGTACAGATGGGGCATCATTTGAAAAAAGTAATCCACGCAATGGACAATGACTTACACATTAGTAAATGCCGTACATTTAACTATTAATTGACATAAGAGGTAATAAATAAATTAGTTACTGCCTTATGGTGTGTTTTTAATATCTTACTATAAATGCTGCTTTAAGAAAGCTTTGAGATTTCAACTGGCTTAGAATCCTTCTCAAAATTTAATGCTGCTCTGTTTTATTCTGTTGTTTGCTTTTAGCATTTCTCTATGGAATATCAGTTTTTCCCAGAAGGTTGTTAAAAATTCTTTATGCTTTTAAAAATTACTAAATTTTAAATAGATTTCTAATTTAATTTTAATCATAGCCAATATTTTTTACATCTGATGAAAGTTATAAAAGTGTTCTTTTAAATTTGGTTCTTGGCATAACAGTCAATCAGCTCATTACTAGAAGTTAGAGAAATAGTCAATCAACTCGTAACTAGTTCTAAGAGTCATTAAGTTAGCTGATTAATACAGCTAGAAGTTGAATTAATCTGATAGAAAAAGGGGTATTTCATTTTATGTTATGTTAATGAAACTTATATGATAATTTGACATAACTCAGTATTTGCCAAATGTGTTATGAAACAAAGAACAGCTAAATTGGGTAAACAGAAATATGATAATATTATTTTTTTACTTAAATTTTAATTAGTCATTCTTCTAATCATCTAGAATAAAAAATAGATAAAATGAAAAGATTTAAAATGAAAATAAAAATGAAGATTGCGTGTACTGCCTTTATCTCAGAATATGAAATGAAATTTTTAAAATTTGATCTGTAGTATAAATTATTGTGATTATACCTGTTAATTTTAAAATATAAATTTGTATGCAAAAGAACTGACTTTTTTGCTGTCAGTCTTTAATTTCTGTCTTATGATTATAACTTTTTTTCTTTCAGAACCGGCCCATTTTATAAACCTGCAAAGCACAAACTTCTTTGGCTTTCTATGGTATGTTTGTGATAAATGTTCTGTTTGTGAAACTTGTAACATAATATAGTTAAACCTGAATTTAACTATAATGAAGAGACTGTTAAAAATTATTATTTACTAAAGAAATTTTTTAATTTAAACCTGATATTCATTATAAAATATAACAAAAATTAATAAAATGATAACAATTTTGTGTGTACTTGCCAATTGCCAGTTTTTTTTTTTTTTTTGTATGAAGGGCCCTTCAGAAGAAAAAAAAAAAAAGGATGCCCAAATATTTTTTATTTTATATTATGCCCAGAGGGGCATTTTTTAACGTTGTGTGTGCTATCTTTATTTATTAAATATCATGTCATTCGCACTTAAACCGTAAAATTAAATTCAACAGCAACATCACAGAATATTTAAAAGAGCGTGTCTTTAGAATTTCGGATACACAGTCTCGTGCACTGGAGATAAATTTTTTTTTTCCCTTCCCATGCAGTGGTGCTGTTGCTCACTTTGAAATCGTTGAATTTCTTAATAAAAAACTCATAAATGCTTTGCAAAATATGAAATAGATAATAAAACAAATTCTAAATTAGGGTTTCCAGATGCCCCTATTCGGTGGAGAATTACGTTATTCAAAGTTTGATGGCTCTAGATACTTTGATTTTATTACAGTGCAAGAAACATAGATACAATTATGCAGTTTCTTCATTATTTAATTTCTTTAAGTATAATACAGGACTGTAATATTTGGTGGCAACAATTTGAAAAGTGATAACACCGTTTCTAGTGATTCAATGCAAAATGCCAAAACAAAATTAATAGCCCTTCTCCGATAAAGCCCTTTGGGCTAATAATAATAGTAATTAAAAAAATAATAATTATTAAAGTCAGGTATCATTAAATGAATGTTAAATTTTAAATATTAATATGTTAGTTAAAAGTGAGGTAGGAATGATATGTAATGAATTGTAAGTCAGGTATCATTAAATGAACGTTAAACTTTAAATATTAATATGTTAGTTAAAAGTGAGGTAGGAATGATAATACATTGTAAGTCAGGAATACGTTAAACTTTAAATGTAATATGTTGTTAAAAGTGATAGAATGATAATACGTAATGTATGAAATAGTTAAAAATGTTGAAGCTGTCCAAATTTCAGTTGAATTGGCTTATTTTTATTAAATTTGCTTTGTTTTGTTTTCCTTAATTTTCTGAGTAACTACCAAAATTTTTCTAGTTTGAATATTTGAATAATTTGTATTACTTTACTTCAATCTGATATATGTATATTTTTCTGTTTAATTAAAATGTTTTGTAGATGTGTATTTTGGAAGCTGAAGAGAGTAGAGTTATCAGTAGAAATTTCCTTGAAGATTTAAGCATTTTGTACCCTAAATGCTCTGCTAAGGTGTATGCTAATAATAGTAAGATTCAGCCTGCCATTTTGTTTATCAAAACAAGTCACTAGACAAATATTCTGGAAATTGGTAGATATGGTGATCATAAAATAACTTCCTCAATATATAAACCTCTCCACTCAACCAATCAAAATGAAATTTCAGGTGTTGTTATTTTGAAAGTATGCACTTAAGATTGTGATGTTTTAAAATGATACGGCTCTTACAGTTACAGTTACAGTAAAAAAGCTTCAAAATTTTCAAACAGTGGCACCCGCTTTTCTCCTGCATAAATTGATCAGCACATTGAAAAAAACCATTATTGGCATTGGAATAATATAGTTCAACTGCCTCATCCACCACCATGAACGCGCAAACACACATGTGCCATTCGGACCGAATTATTCTCAAGATAGGGTGGAATTTTTCCCTTGAGCATATAAATTCTCTCTTTCTGCAGGTCTTCACATGACCTTTCATGTCGTAGCAAGTAATAATGCCCCTTCTGGACGAGTCTATATGTTTTGTCAGAATGCCAACCAAGGTTGCATTTGAGATGATCGAACTATACACGTGACGAAAATTGCTGCCGTAAAACATTTGCAAAGAGGAGAATTGTAAAGGACCAATGACAACACAGCAAGGGAGGGAAAGAAACTTTGATTGGAATTATAAGTTTTCAGTATGTACAGCGTTTTAAGATTTAGTCATCTCCCATAACTTTACATTTTGAAGGCCGCCGCAATCCCCTGATCTCATTCTGATGGGTTTCTGGTGCTGGAGTTACCTGAAATCTAAAGTGTAGACATCAAATCTGTGGGTGTTTGAGGGAAAAGAATAAGGAATAACGTACGTAATATAACGTAGATTTTTTAAAGAATAAGGCTTAAATAGCAATAATAATGGAACACTAACATCATCTAAAATCTTAATACTTACAAAAGAACTTTTTAATACCTTTGGCATGGGAAATGATGCCTTGTTGAATGTGGCAATTTTGCACAATATATTTTAGAGTATTCAAAAGGAAAATAATGGTGGTAAGATTAATACATTGTTCTTATTAAGATTATGTAATTATTTCTGCATGGTGTAAACATCAGCCACTTGCCTTAGGAAGTCCTTCATGAAGGCATCCTTTTTCCTAGACAGATACTCCTCGAATGCTTTGCCATAACCAGATAACCTATACAGAAGTGTAATTTCTTGTTCAGTTGCAATTTTCCATTGTACGTGCCCTATAATTTCTTTTAAATATAGAATTTCTTTTAAATATAGAATTTCTTTTAAATATAGGATTTCTTTTAAATAGTCATTGAATTTTTTTATTTTCAACAACTTCTTTATAATTTTCTCACTAGTAGTTTTGATATTTTATGGATTTTAAACAGTACTTCAGATTTTGCTGTCCATTTGTTAATTTATGATGGAAGGATTATCGTTGAATTAAGACATCAGTTACCTCATCTTCATTTATCACATATATTATCAATACAGAAAATTTCACGATTCTTTTCCATGAGAGCCATACTTGGTATTTTCCACTTGGTACACAGTTTTTGTTCTGCTACATTTCCTCATCACCAGGCAGTTTGGCATTATTATTTATTTGTGGAAAGGGGTCTATTTCCTCACTGTCAGTCATCACCAGCTTGATTTGGCTTTTGTCTAATCATAAATGTTCTATTTCCTACTAAAATGGGCACACCAGCGGCCGAGCGGTAAAGACACTGAACACTGATGGTTCGGTCCGAGGTCCGAATCCCGCGACCGGGCTGGCTGCATGGGCGTTTTCATGGTTTTCCCCATGTGTAACGTGTATACGAGCCAGTTTCCCTTAGAAAGTCCTCCACAAAGGCATCCCTCCCTTTAGGCAGATAGCCCTCATGTGCTTTGCCATAATTGAATAACCGCCATCCCATTAAAATGGATTTTCACAATTTGAGATTTCCCAAGCAGTGGACAAGCAGCTATCCTGTTTCCCCTCCTTTCTTTCTTTCAAGAAAGAGATATTCTGCAAAAAGAAAGACTGTGTTTAAATAATCACACCATGAAATTAAAATGTGATTCATAACCAAAATTGTAATATTTTCTGAATTTAAAACAGTACTTCAGATTTTGCCACCTGTTAACTGTTTGATGATTTAAGCACTGACTTCAATGAAGATTTCCGGTTATATCATCTTTGTTTAGCATTTCTTTACATATTCTGTTAATTTGGAAATATTGTGTTTCTTTTTTATTGTTAAAGGCCTTACCACTTATGATATTATGTTTTGGTGCATATTCTATTGCTGCCAGGCATCATCACCTTAGTTTGCCATCTTTTTTGATGCACATGTGTTTTAAGGTATTTTTTTCTTCCTTACACATGCCTGGGTGTTGTAATTGAAAAACATGTCTGGCTAGCAATCAGGTCTGGCATTCCAATCCAATTCCATCAAGGGCATTCTGGTTCTTCATTTGACTGGCTTCAAAAAATTCTTAAGCCCCTACAAATGCACCCAAATTAAAATGTGGTAGACGATAACTCATCTCCATCAGGATTTCCATAAGGATTTGGTGATTGGGTTCTGCCCTCTCCAGTTGCCCTTTAAATGAAGGAGAGTGTAAGATTATTTTTCCCCTCCTTTAATGTGTCTTTGTGTGTAAATGGAAAGCAAGTCTAGCTAGCAGTTGAAAGGTGAAGAATTCGAATTCAGGCGAGGCCATTGCACATTTTTTCATGTTTCCTGTTTTGCAAAACCTCTAGTCTCTAGAACACTTTTCATTTAATCATAATTATTTGCCCCCCACCCACTGAAAATGATTTTTATGATTTGGAATTTGCTAAGAGATGAATTATTTTTCAATTTCTTTAACTATTCTGTTTCTTCAAGAAAGAGGTAATCAGCATAAAATGTGTGTTTGAATAATCACCTCATGCAAATGAAATAGACCTTGAAGCTGAAATACTGATATTTGTTGAATTTAAAACCACACTACAGATTTTGCCATCCATTTAGTGATTGATGATTGGGGAATTGCCATTGTAGTGGAAGAATTCAGTTATATCATTCATTTAGCATTTCTCTGCATTTTTTCACATAGTCCATTAATTCGAAAATTTTGCTGTTTACTTTTGATATCCGAAAACCTTCAAATATATGACTACCATCATCATAAAATATGACAGCTAGCTATAAATTATGCCTAGGATTAAAAAAAAAAAATTACAGACACATCTTTTTGTGACTTTGTGATACTCCTTGTGGCAAATTTTATGCTAAAATATTTCAAGAATTCTTGGGTAATTTTACTGCTGCTTTGATTTTAAAGGCTGCTTTATATCTGCATTTTGATGCATAGAAAATTTCGATATACATTGACTGAATTGTTAGTGTATGATTTCAATGTATGAGTAAAACAGAGATGTTGACTAAAACTTTAATTTAAAAAAGATAACTAATGATAATATATTAAACGGAATAATTAGTTGTATGAAATTAGAAAGGAAGAGTGAACTTCACAGTGCTATCTGAGTTGAGAATTTCATTGGAATTTAATTCTTTTTTCATTCTTCCCTGCTATGCAAAGAAAAGAAAACTAGTTATTGCAATACAGTCGAATCTGGTTAATTGGACTACCGG